AAAGGGGGGGGGCGGGAGGCTGGCCATCGCTCGGGCGTCCATTTCCTGTGTTTTTTTTCGGTTTCGTGCGTGGCTCTTTCGCGAAGTGGTCAAGGATGCTCCTCGATGGTCCTCGCCGAAGGAAACATGCACACGTCCGAGCGATGCCAAGGAGGGGAGCGATGAGATGGGGTGTGGGGAGCGTTGCTTCCGCGCCAAGTCCTGACCCTCGAGGGTCCCCACAGGGATTCGTGGGGGTCCGAGGAACGTGGAGACGATCAGGCCACCCTTCGAACACGCGCAGGAACCTCCTCGAGGGGGAGGGAAGGGGGGAGCGTCAGGGAGCCCCCCCCCACTTTGTTGCCTCCTGGAGGCCACGTTGCCCAGCCGAGCAGAAGCAAGGACCTGCCCCTGGGTGCACCACAACTTCGATGCGGAGCCAGCCGTGGCGGCGAGGGCACCCCGGGAGGCTCGAAGAGGGCCCCCTAACCGCGGAAACAATCGGAACCTCGACCCTCTCGCCTCCAGAGGGGGAAGAGACTGGAGGCCTCCCAAGCGGGGTCCGCGCAGATGGCGTCGGAGGATCGCGCCGCACCGCCGATGCATCAGCGACGACGGCGATGCATCCGCGCCCTCGGCGTGGAGAAAATCGGGCTCCACATCGAGCCGCATCGCCGATGCATCGGCAATGCGGCGCCATCCTCCGACCCCATCCGCTCGGACGCTGTTTGGGAGGCCTGGCAAGGAAGGGACGGGAGGGCCTGGCAAGGGACGGGAGGGGGAGGGGGAGGGGGGAGGAAAGGGTGGGAGGGGGGCGAGGAGGGGGACGAGGAGGGGGGACGACAAGCTAGGTGCGCTCGCGTCATATCTGACGTCCTACCCCTCCCTCCCATCCCTTACCATGGCGCTGATTTTCTCTATCCGCGGACGCGTGTCGTAGCGGACCTGTGGCTCCGCGCGCGCGTGCGTAGTGGGTGGTGGTGCACGTGCGTGCGTGCGTGCGTGTGTGCGTGGTTGTCTGGTGGTGGTGGTGGTGGTGGTGGTGGTGGTGGTGGTGGTGGTGGTGGTGGTGGTGGTGGTGGTGGTGGTGGTGGTACTGGTGGTGGTGCTGGTGCTGGTGGTGGTGTGTGGTGGTGGTGGTGGTGGTGGTGGTGGTGGTGGTGGTGGTGGTGGTGGTGGTGGTGCGGCGCGGTGGTGGCGGGCGGATGGGCGCGCGAGAAAGAGGCCCGCGCTGGGGCGAGAACGCCATCCTGAACGACGGAGGCCAAACACCGATCCGAAAATGAGGCCCACGCTGCAGCGGGAGCACGATTCGGAACGATTCGGGAGCAGAAATGAGGCCGGCGCCTCAACGAGAGCAGCATTTTGGGAAAAAATGACGCCGGCGCCTCAGCGAGAGTCGTTTCCCGGGATTTTCTGGGCATCCTGTGTGTAAAAAACAATACGCGGAGGGTGCGCGGCTATCACCCGGACGCCATCAGGGGAAGGATTCGGGAGCAAAAATGAGGCCGGCGCCTCAACGAGAGCAGCATTTTGGGAAAAAATGACGCCGGCGCGAGAGCAGCATTTTGGGAAAAAATGACGCTGGCACCTCAGCGAGAGTCGTTTCCCGGGATTTTCCGGGTATCCTGTGTGTAAAAAAACAGTACGCGGAGGGTGCGCGGCTATCACCCGGACGCCATCAGGGGAAGAGGGAGAGTATATTCATATTGAGTAATTGTGGAGGAGGACGAGGAGGAGGACGAGGAGGAGGGGGAGGAGGGGGACGAGGAGGAGGGGGAGGAGGAGGCCTGTTTGGGGGGCGGGGTGGGTCGGATCTGGGCTGCCCACGGGCCGCCCCGCCCGGGTAGCTGGCCTCAACAGGCCCCGCGAGTAGTCCGGTGCAGTCTCAACACATCAGCTCTGGGTCGCGGAGCGCCCCAGGGGGCGCCGCCGAAGGCGGCGCCAGGGTCAAGTCGGGCCTGTCCCTCTACAAGGGGGAATCTTCAAACATAGTAAAATAAAAAAAAAACCCTGGGGACTATTCTTTGACTATTTTTGGCCATCTTTTGAACATTTTTGGGGTATTTGTCATTTTTCTCCCAAACTCCCCCTGTAGGGGGACAGGCCCGACCTCACGCCAGGGTGTCAGGACCGCCACAGGCTCATCGGGGGGCCTGTGGAAGCCAGCTGGGACCACTCCAATGGCCCCTGGAGGCCCGCCAGGACCACCCGGCGGGGCTGCCTGTGCGCAGCCCGAGGCCTTGCTACCAGAAGGGGAAGGAGGGGGGAAGGGGGGAGGGGTCCCAAAGGGAGAAGGGGAGGAGGGGGAAGGAGGGAAGGGGGAGGGAGGAAGGGGAAGGAGGGGAGAAGGGGGAATGAGGAGGGCCAGGGGAGGGGCCCCCCTGACTACCAGACGGGGAAGGAGGGGAGAAGGGGAAGAAGGTGGAGGGTTAGGTCGGGCCTGTCCCCCTACAGGGGGAGTTTTTGGAAGAAAGACAACAAATACCCCCAACATGCTCAACATATACAAAAAAATGCTAACAAAATACTCCCCAGACGTTTTTTTTTGTTGTGACCATTTTTGAATATTCCCCCTGAAGGGAAGGGGGGAGGGACCCCAAAGATTCGATGCCTGGATTTTTTCAATGCGGGGCCCCTGGAGCATGGGGCCCACTCCTGGAGACCAGCTCTTCATCCCGAGCTGCTTCTTGGCGGTCCCTTGGCTCGGCGAGGGGCTCCAGAGGCCGAAAGCTGCGAAGAGCAATCTTTTCTCTGTGTGTGTGTGCTTATTGTGTTTTGCTCTGTTTTTGGTTCCTTGAATTTTGTTCTGGCTTCTTTTTTTGATGTTGCTTCTTCTTGTGTTTGTTGGTTGCCTTGTTTTGCTTTTGCTTCCTTTTGTCCGTGCTCTGGATCCCTGGGGCCAGGGATCGCCCCCCGAGCAGCGTGCCGCGCCCCCCGGGCGCGCCGCGGAGAGGCCCCGATGCCGCCGAGGCCGAGGGGGGGGGGCCTCGAGCTCCAGGCCGGGGCAGATGGCCACGGAGACGCAGCCCCGCAGCTGCTCGGCGATCTCCTATAGGGGCCGTCGGCGGCGGCGCGCTTTCCCCTCCAGCGAGAGCCCGAGCTCGTCAGTCTGCAACGCGGCCACCCACCGCACACATTTTCATTTTTTTTGTTTTGTTTTTTTTTTTTTGTGTGTGTGTGTGTGCGTGTGTTGATAAAAAGGAGAGGGGACGCCCACTGCACACTCTCATGCTCCAGCCAGATCACCGCCGCCACGATGCTCAGCAACTCCGGCCTGCCGCCCGCCTTCCGTCGTGCGACCCGCGAAGCGGTCAGAAGGATACCGCCCACCTCCGCTCGACGGCGAGCGAGGGGGGGAAGTGAGAAGGAGAGGGCCTTCTCAGAAGGCGGTGGGACTTCTCAGAAGCCCTCGCGCCTTCTCAGGAACTGTCCGTGCCCTCGGGGAAGGCTTACAGAACTTTCCAGAAGGCCGGAGGACCTCGAGCCTCCTGACAAGGGCCCGCCCTTTCTCACTTCCCCCCGGGCTCGCCGCCAAGCTCAGATGCCCCGATAAGCAACACGCAACAAGTGTCACCGTGCCATTTGTTCTCGACGCGCCCTGGTGGACGACGCCGGCTCCACGGCAAACCCGCGGCAAACCCCGCGTCCCGCACACCACGTAGACGAGGCCGCCGCGCGGCAAGCCCCACGGCGAGCCCACCGCGCCCGAGGCGGCGTTTGCCCTGGTGGCCGCGGCGCCCTCCCCAAGACGGAGGGCCGCGCGTCGGAACAGACGGCGCGGCGACACGCAGTGCGACGGCACGAAGCTCCACACGCAGGCCGAAAACGCAGGTCCGGCGCGGTACGCTCTCGCCAGGGCGTGGGCCCACGCGCGCCGAGCCGACGCGCAGCGTGCCGGCACGGACGTTGTGGGCACGGCCCCGTTTTGCACTCCAAGCCGAGCGCATTGGGCAGCTGAGCGCGGAAACTAGTTCTGGCCATCGCTCGGACGTCCTTTCCTTGTGCTTCTTTCGGTTTCGTGCGTGGCTTTTTTCGCCAAATTATCAAGGATGCTCCTCGATGGTCTTCGCCGAAGGAAAAATGCACACGCCCGAGCGATGCCAAGAGTTTTAACTGTTCGGCAAGCTGAGATCGACTGGTGTCGTGGCGTCTGGATCGCAGAAGCGAAAGGCGGCAGAGCAGAACAGGTACCGACCCAGGCGTGGTGGCCGACAGTCTAAACCTGGGTGAGCGCAGTGTGATAGCATAAGGCAACGCAGATAAGAAGGACACTAACGAAGGGCCGCAAGGGTATGAAGTATGCGCTCGCCTGGCCGTGGAGGAGGTGATGGAGAGGGAGGAGGAGGAGGAGGAGGAGGAGGAGGAGGAGGAGGAGGAGGAGGAGGAGGGAGGAGGAGGAGGAGGAGGAGGAGGAGGAGGAGGAGGAGGAGGAGGAGGAGGAGGAGGAGGAGGAGGAGGAGGAGGAGGAGGAGGAGGAGTCTCCTCCGCCTCCTCCTTCTCCTGACACACTCGCGAACACGGATGCGTCATGAGGCCCCCAAGAAAACCCCAATGGCAAACAAAACCGCCAATCCAGCCCCAGAAGGCCCTTCCCCAATGTTCCCACATGGATCTCCGCAACGACTTGGGTGACGCGCAGCCCACTAGCATGGCTGGACTTTCGGCTCTCATTTCGCTACGCAGGCGTCTTCCAACGGCAGGGACCAGCGCTAATTCGCTAGAGGCGTCTTCGTTAACACAATCACGCAAGCACACCAGTAACGCACGAAAGATGTAGAACGCCGCATAACAACGACTCTACACCATGGCAATACAAGGATGGCTGCAAAAGAAATACATGTGTACGACAACCCAGATTCACCGGATCACACGGGGAACGTGCGGACACACCTGGAGAAGCAACGCAAAGACGACATCCGTGCATGGCAACTGCTATTACCATCCTCTGCCTTCACCCTGTCTCCCGTCTCTCCCCCCAAACTTCAGACGAGCAAGCTGCTCCTCTTCGGACAAAGCCGTCATACCATCGAGCGCCAGAAAACGCGTCTGCGTGTCCTCCCAGCCCAATCTGCAGGGGAGGAGGGGGAGGAGGACGAGGAGCAAACGGAGGAGGGAGAGGAGGAGGCGGCGGAGGAGGAGGAGGAGGCGGGGGGAGAAAGATAAGTATGATGATGATGATGATGCTGATGCTGATGCTGATGATGATGAAGATGAAGAGGAGGAGTAAACATATTAGGATGCTAAATGATGAAGGTTCTAGGAGACTTTCAAAGGCTCCAAGAGGCTTTCCAAAGAAAAGGGGGGGAGGCATAGAATGCGGATCAGGATGGACATGAAGAGGCGGGGAGAATCTGTGATGGGACATGCGTGAGGATGAGGAACATATAGATGATGATGACGATGATGGTGATGGGAATGATGATGATGATGAGGATTGTGATGATGCTGATGATGAAGAAGATCGTGATGATGGCGATGATGATGACGACCACGATGGCGACTACGATGATGATTATGGTGATGGTGATGACGGTGATGATGGTGATGATGATGCTGACTATGGTGATGAAGCTGATGCTGATGCTGATGTTGTTGATGATGATGATGATGATGATGATGATGATGATGATGATGATGATGATCATGACGATGATGATGAGGATGATACGTATGATGACGAGGCTGATGATGCTGCTGGTGTTGTTGTTGATGATGCTGATGAGGATAATGCTTTTGACTATGATGATGTTGATTACGATGGTGCTGATGAAGTCGAGAGGCATGATCATGAGGATCAAGAGGTGGATGAGGACTCACCCCATTAATTATCCAAACAAGACATCCGTTCAACATAGTCGAACGCTAGACAACATGTCCGCCTTCCTCCCAAAACACTTGGATGCACCCGCCGAGCACGTCGTCGAGCTCGTCGTAGTCGGCGACGCGCTCGACGACGACGGCGCCGTAAGCCCATGCCCCAAACAGTTCTCGGGGATACTTGTATTTCCTAGCAAGGAGAAACGACACGATCCTCAAGGGCACCATGCTGCTGCCGCGCCGCCTTGCGAACTAGCCTCGCCGAGCTGGCGATGTTTTGTTGGCCTTTTCATCTGTTGCGTTTTTCATTTGTTTGCTTGCTCATCTTGTGCCTCGGCGGTTGCGCAGCTCGGCGGCGGCGATGCGCGAAGGCCCATCTGCAGGGTTGAGGTGCGCGTCGGCGAACGCTGAGCATGGTTGCGAGAACGTGGCCAATGCATCGGCACTGGAACGCCGCAAGATGTAGTTGAGCTGGTTGGTGCTTCATCTCTCCCCAGCTGCGACGCCCATCGACACCCGCGAGTCGAGCAACAACATGAGCCAGGATCCGAGCGTCGAAACAGTGCAGGGCCTCCAGCGGAAGCCCAGGAGTAGCGCTTGGAGCTCCAAGGAGTTGATGTGGAGCTTCGTACTCCAGGGCGTCGACAATGGATGCACTCACGTCCACCGCTGAGTGACGAGGCCCCCTCGCGCTGCGCGGAATGGGCTGGATGTTGAGGCACGCGTCGCAGCCCTTGCGGTTGGCCCTCCAGTAGACGTGTGGGCGAGCACTCGGGCGCAATCCTTGGACGCGATACCTCGTGCAAGTACCCGACCTGGATGTCTGCCGGCGCCGGCGGATCGTGCTCGTGCTCGAGCGCCTCGGCGTGCGTGCCCTGAGCGATGATCCCCGCCGCCGCGCGTGCATTCGGAACCGTCGCGAGGAGGTCCGAGCGGAGCCGCTCCACACCACCGCCCGCGACGAAGTGCGCGGGTTCCGGCTTGCACCGCGCGCTGAGACATCCAGGCCAGAGCCTGGCGAGAACTTCGAGCTCTCGTGAATGCAACGTGCCCTTCTCTGTCGGCGTGCGTGCCGTGCTGGCGGCGCACCGCGCATGCGCCCCTGCGCCGGCGCGGCGGGAGGTGCCGCCGGCGCGCCGCTCGCGCCGCAAATCGACGGCGCGCGGACCCCCCTGAGGATCAAGTGCGGCAGCAGGTGCAGGGAGCTCCGCTCCCGCGGGAGCTTCCCTGACGCTCCCTGGCATCAGCCGCAAGCGCCGTGGCGCGGCGCGGGGGGGTGCGCGTCCAGGACAACGCAGCCGAGGCGCTCGCCCGCGGTGGGGCATGCCCCAGGAGCGTTCGACGGCGTGGTTGGCGGTGGGACGCTGCTGGCGCGGGAAGCCTTGCGGCGGGCCTCCGGACTTCGCGACGCCGAGAGCACCGTGCCCAAACCTGTGTCTGGCGACAGCTGCGATCTCCTCCTCGGTTAAAGGTGCCCTAGGACACACAAATACATACACACAAATCCCAAGATTTCCTATATTTTTATATGTAATCTGGGTCTTCGGCTTCCACCCCTTGTGCACATTTTCCAATATTTTCTTTGGAATCGTCGATTCATTGTCTCTGTGTGTTTTTTCTCCCCCTCCTGAGAGGTGCCGAAGATCCCCCTCGCGGTCAGATCGTTGCAAATGTTGGCCCGCTCGCTACCGTCGCAGCGGGCGCGGGCCTGCGAGACCGGAGGCCGCTCGCTCCCTGGCATGATGTGCAGCGGAGGGCTCTCCAAGGCGGCGCGGACCTCATCGTCGCAGAGACTTGTCGCCTCCGGCTTCCCGCGCCTGTGGCGGGGCCGCAGCTCGGGCTCCACCTGTGCGAGGGTGCGCTTCTCAGGCGGCGACCACTGTTCGCTGCAATCGTGCTGGACTTCCGACTGGGCTCATCCAACTTTGGCGCGGGGCCGCGAGCGCCCGCGCCATCGCTGGGGCGCGCGAGCGCCGCCGCCGGCCCCATCGTGCCAAGTGTCTCCAGCTGCGCACTGGTCGGGGCCTCGCGCTCGCAGAGCTGGGAATCAGCCAGCTCCCCGCGTGGGCCACACAACAAGTTCGCGAGGATGCCCTGGGCCACAGTCCACAGCGATGCCGACCTCTCGGCGCCTCTCGTCTCTGCGATCTCCCTGCCTTGCAGGTGTCCTAGGGCCCTGCAGGTGCTTGAGCAGTTGGTCGAAGCGCCAGCCCGCGCCGGTCAAGGGAAGCGGGCAGATGTCCCGCTGCCTGTGCCCACTGTGCTGCTCGCGCGGCGGGGCGGCGCCAGTTTGGCAGGTGCGTCGTGGCAATGCTCGAGCGTAATCCCACCAGCCCTTTGGGCGTGAGTGGTTTAGAGAGCCCGCTCTGTCCTCAACCCCCCATCTTCCCCTTCGGGGAGGGGTTCATCCCTCCCCCTACCCCCTCCCCCTGGACCTGGACAGGGAGTCCGGGGTGGGGTCAGGGGGGCCTTTTTCGACTCCTGGGAGGGCCAAAAAAACGACGACCCTCACGAGGATTCTGGCCCCGAGGGGGGGAGGGAGTTTGGCCCCTCTGCTCGTCTTTGAAGCAGAAATTATTGATTTTACTACGGTTTTGGCCCCATTTTGGCGTCCTGAGGGGGCCGCGCTCATCTTCCCTCATAGCAAAATTATTGATTTTACGAAGGTTTTGGGCTCAATTTGTTCTTTTCAGGGGGCAGCTCTCCTTTGCGCTTCTGCGGAGGTCGCAAGAAGCCCCAAGATGGACCCAAGAGGCCCCCAGGAGGCTCCCAAGAGGCCTCCCAGAGGCCCCCCAGAGGCCCCCAAGCGGTCCCAAGAGGCCCCCAAGAGCCTCCCCAGAGGCCCCCAAGAGGCCTCAAGAGGGCCCAAGAGGCTCCCAAGAGACCCCCAAGAGGCCCCAAGAGGCTCCAAGACGCCCCCAAGAGACCCTACGAGGAGCCCGAACGACTCACACCAGGACGAGGGGCCCGAACGACTCACACCACGAAGAGCCCGAACGACTCACACCACAAGGAGGGGCCCGAACGACTCACACCAGGACGAGGCGCCCGAACGACTCACACCACGAGGAGCCCGAACGACTCACACCACGACGCGGGCCCCGAACGACTCACACCACGAGGAGCCCGAACGAGTCACACCAGGAGGAGGGGCCCGAACGACTCACACCAGGATGAGGGGCCCGAACAACTCACACCACGAGAAGCCCGAACGACTCACACCAGGACGAAGAGCCCGAACGACTCACACCACGAAGAGCCCGAACGACTCACACCAGGAAGAAGGGCCCGAACGACTCACACCAGGACGAGAAACCCCAAACGACTCAAATCACGAGGAGCGCTTTCTCTCCCTCCTCCTCCGCCTCGTCCTTCTCCCGCTCCCCCCACAAGGAGGATGTACAAGGAGGCGGGAGGAAGGAGGAACAGGGGAGATATGCGGGGCCAAGCGGAGACACGCCTGAAAAACACGACTGTCGGCATGCTTCGCAAGAGTTGCTGCTGTGAGATGGGCTGGTGGGGATACGCGAAGCGTAAAAGAATTCCCAAGACCTGTTTCTCGGAACAATGCGTAACGCAGTGCCTGGATGCCCGATTTCGTGATCGAGAGGTCGTCCGAGTGCAACTCCTTCAGCGCGGCGGCGGCGATCTTGCTCTGCCCGCGCGCGACCGCGCTGGTGTCGCGCGGCCTGGTGCCCAGAGCCACCGCCGCCAAGCCCCTCTGTGTCACCTCTTCCGCTGACAGCCTGGACGCGGCACCGGCCGCGTCCGCCAGCCGCGCCCTCGCGAGAGGGTCGTCGAACCTCTCCCGCGCAAGGCTGGAGGCTGGCCGGCGACGCTGCCCCGTGCCCCGCGGGCTGCGGCCTCTCGCCTCGGCGTGGGCGCAACTCGCGGCCGCTCCCCAAGTGGCTCGGGGGCCCCGCGCGGCTGGCCTCCCCGCGGCCCCGCTCGCCGCCCGCCCGCTCCTCGCTCGCCCTCCGGGCGCCTTCGGGCGGGCCCCCCCTGCGGCCGGGCACCCGGCCGCCTCGTGCGGGCCCGGCCCCCCTGGGCCGCGCGCCGCGCCCGACGCCTGCCAGCTGCGGCTCCCGGCAGGGCCGTCGCCCGGCCGGGCCTCGCGCCCCCCGCGCCGCTCGGGGGGGGGGCGCCGCCGACCCCCTTCGTGGGGCAGGAGCGCCCTTCGTCTCGGTCTCCTCGGGCAGGGCCCTGGCGATCTCGCAGCGCGTGGCCATCGTCCGCTC